TCTGCATTTTTCATATTGATATGGAAGCACTTTTGAACTACTCTGCATCTGAGTTCTTTTGAAATACGGTGTCATATATATTTTCTTCCACCCTGTTGCTTTTTTTTTTTTTCTGATGTCTTTGATGAACAGGAATTTTAAACTTCATGCAGTTGATTTTTATCACGTTGTCTCTTTATGGCTGGTGCAGTTTTATCTAAGAAATCTTTGGTTATCCTAAGGTCATGAAGATTTTCTCCTAGAAGCTTTGTTTACTTTTCTGACTTGGATCTTTAAGCCTTTTGAAGGTGACTTTGGTATATGTTTTGAGACAGGGACTTAGAATTTGTTTTTGTCCTTTCTGTGTCTCCAAGTGCCACTGCTGTTAACTTCAAAGGCCACTCTTTTCCTGCCATGCGACAACGTTGTTGTTCAGGTGACAGCATGTCTGCCTCTGGTTGGGTTCCTTTGCTTTCCCTTGTACCAATGGACTGTTTAAAACATGTATTTTATTTATGCTAAGTGTCTGTTAATTTTTTGACAAAATATTGAATGAAACTTCTTTCTTATTATTTATTTTAAAATACATATTTAAGGTTTAAAAAAATTGGCTGAAAGACATAATTTGTTTTTAAATTTACTTTTTAACAAACTTGACATAATTAGGGTAAAAAGGTTTAAGCGCTACAGGAAGATAGGCAAGACAATTAGTTCCAATTTGTTTCCTTAATATATCTGATGTAAAAGGAGATTTTAAGGGAGAAGCCCCACCCAGTCTCCCACCCACCTCAGGTTCCTGATGTGGGGCATGCTCTGAGAGTCCTGCTCAAGTGGTTTTGATAGTTCAGCAGTTCTGAATTGCTGTCAATCTCACCACTCCAAGCCCGATGAATTTGTTGAAGAATCCACTGATTGACATAGTCCATCATAGAGTCTCCGTTTGCCCAGTTTTTCACTGCCAACATACAGCTGAGGTGGTTGATTGACTTGTTCTGTCCTCTGTCTTTTGATGGTTAGGGTTCTGAGTCTGGAAGCTCGATTGGGGGAATCCCCAAAGAAACTTTGAGGTGTTCCCAGACCAGATTCTTGTATGTACTAGCAAGCACAGGGCCCGGCACAGTCCATCGCCCGATCAGCTGGTGGTTGCAATTGCTGGGTTGGTTCTGTTTCCATACCTGGAAAGACATAATTTTGGAAGTAGGACATTAGATGCCTTTTTTTCCCGCCATTGAAGTACATTGGTTCTGTTCCTGGCTCTGGCTCCTGATTTGAACTTCCTGCCAGTTCAGACTCTGGGAATCTGTAGGTAGTGCCTTACCGAGCTGGTTTCTTGCCACCCAGAAGGAAGACCAAGGTTGATTTCCTGTCTTCCAGCTTTGGCCCTGGTCCAGCTCTGGATGTTGGATGTATTTAAGGAGTAAACCATTATATGATGGAGCTCCCTTCCTCTGCCTTTGCAAACAAACAAATAGCAACAACAACAACAAAAAACCCCAAGCAAACCCCCAAAAGCCTGAACTATAGTTTTGAACCATAATAAGTTGGCATTAAAGATTGAATTTAATGTGTGCTATGGAAAGTGTTTTGGCAGTTCTTAATGTGATTTTTCAAACATTTATTGTTACTTTTTTGAGTTTTGGTTTTCTTTGTATTGCTAGAAATGTATTTCTTGAAAAACCTCTTTTCCTTGAAAACAGTGTATTAGGTGAAATGCCTTTTAGTTTTAGAAAACGACAGAAATTCTCTCACTGATAGACATCAGGAGTAGCGGTTAAGGCGCTGCTTGGGATGCCTGCGTCCCACACATGAGCACCTGTATCAAGTCCTGGCTCTGCTTGTTAGCAGGTTACCAGGCTTCCTAATGATGCGTGCACTGGGAGGCAGCACATGGCAGCTCTGTAGCTGGGCCTTCATCACCCTCTGGGGAGATCTGGATTGCATCTAGCTTTTGCCTGTCCCAACCCTGGCGTGTGTGGGCATTGGGGGGAAAAAAACCTGTTTGTGAAAGACCTTTCTCTTTCTCTGTGTCTTTCTCTCTCTGTTTCTGCCTTTCAAATAAAAAAAATATGTATTTCAAAAGAAATATGGTGCTTGGGACCCTATCCTGGTGCTTAGGACTCCATCTCTCTGAATTAAAACCTTGGGATGGAACCAGAGTTTGTGTAATAGCTCATGCATTTATCTATAAGGAGGGAATTTCTTTGTGCTAGTTGGATTAAATCCTAAATAATTTGGGGGACAATCTGTCAGAAAACCCTTTAGAATGAAACAAATGGGCCTGCTGAAAAACTAAAATGAAGTAAAATGTCAGGAGGCAGTTTTTATTCAAGAACATTCAGATACCTGCTATCATGTCTGGCTTGCTTTTTAGTGTTGTGATTCAGTTTGTTTCTTAAGACATGTGCAGATGTGTGATGTCATCATGTCATTGGAACTTAATTATTTTTGGCCTTGTATTTTATATAACGTTCTTTTAGACTTCAGTATTTCACATAAATCCTTTTACATCCCGTTTTGCTAATTCTTTGCTGCATTCTTTCTTGAGGTATTATGAGAGAAGCAAAAGTTTTGTAAAAGAATGTGAAACAAACGTTAAGACTGTGTACAGATTGCTTCAAGTCTGCTGCTGTGGATTGCAAAGTGGCAACATTCTGCTTCAGAGCACATCTGGGTGCTGTTACAAAATCAGAAAATAGATTGTTCATTTCCCCCAAATAAAATCAAGAACGTGCTTTACTACAAGTAATTCCCATTGTGTATTCAAAGTGTATGAGACAAACAATGTAATATTCTGAATAATAACAACAGAATATTCTTCCTTGTTTACTGTGTGAAGTGTTGCTTTTAGAAACTAGAGTTAGACATTTTCTGGTTTTGAGGGTTGACTTGAGAAGGGAAATAATGATTTTTAAGTAGGTCTTTGATATTTTTATTAATGACTTAAAGATGAAGAGAACAAAATAGGAGTTACTTTTGCATAGTTGAAATTCTACATAGTAATTAACTGAAGTAATATTTTTTTACACTGCTTATAAATGTAGAGCTGGGTGAAAATAAGTTACATATGTTTTATTGGGTTTCTAGTTTTTCAAGTCTAAACTTAAAGCTTAATTGTCTTTCAAAATTCCTATTTCTTCTTACTTTTTCCTCCTTATATCTGATTTTGCTTCATGAATTAGGATTTTATGCATGGACAGATGTATGTGTGTGTTTGAACAATGTTCCTTTGCTTTGAATATGTATTTATTTTTATTGGAAAGGCAGATTTACAGAGAGAATTAGAGACAGAGGGAAAGATACTAGCTTACTAGTTTACTAGTTTATTAGTAGTTACTAGTAGATAGTTATTAGTAGTTATTAGTAGATACTAGCTTACTAGTTTACTAGTTTACTCCCTAGATGGCAGCAATGGCCAGAGCTGAGCCAATCTGAAGCTAGAGATCAGGAACCTCTTCTGGGTCTCCCAAGTGGGTGCATGGTCCCAAAGCCTTGGGCCATTTTCTACTGCTTTCCCAGTTCACAGGGGGAGAGCTGGATGAGAAGTAGAGCTGCTGGACACAAACTGGTACTCACATGGGATACCTACACTTGTAGGTGGAGGATTAGGTAATTGAACCATCATGGCATCATGCTGGCTGGGTGAACAGCTTAATTTCCATGCTTATTTTCTGCATTCTGAAAGAAAATTACATATATGTATACATAAATATGTATGTACATATACATGTACATAAACCTTCACACAGTTCACATGATAAGTAGTGATTGAGTGTACTGTGCTGAGCTGGATATTTGTTGCTTCAGATTTTCAAAAAGCTGTGTCTATACAGTACTGTGTTATTTGCTAAGGAACATGCCTCTTTCTCTTACACAGTACTTAAATAGATTCTTTTTATTTAATAAATATTTCCCAAAGTGAGTGCCCAATTCAATATTCTGTCAGAGAGGAATGTCACATCTTAAAGGTTTTATTGTCAACTTTTAATAATGCCAATCTTAAGTATAAAATATCTCATAAAGTCATATTTTAAGGAGATTAGGCATATTCTTATGTTTATTAGTCATTCAGATTTCATCATCAGCAAAATGTGCCTCAATTTTTTCTGTTTTTTTTCTAGTGTATTATTTTTCTATCACTGAATTTTCCATTTATTATGTTGTTTATTATTTTATATAGTCCATTTGGTGTTCTTTTCAGATCTCAATTCCTTCCTAGTGATGGATACTAGGGCAAGAGTGGTGAGCAAGGCATCATGATCTGTTTGCAGATTCCGCATCCTTGGAACAGATGTGTGCTAGCTGAAGGAAAAAAAAGGGAGGGACGGAGGGAGGGAGGCGAAAGAGAAGAGAAGAACTTCCATAGTCCTATGGGAGCAGCAAGAACTAAGTTTCCTGAGGAGAATTTGTGAATTTTGAGTAAGTTAGGCATGAGAAGAGGTTGAGAGCATGCTTTCACAGCTGCAGACTCAGATCCAAGTCTCTGTGGAGTGTTTTCAATGTGGAGCAGGGTGTGTGTGTGTGTGTGTGTATGTATGCATGTGTCCCTGGAGGCAGGGTACCCTGGGGAACAGAAGAACCTAGAAAGGCAAATGGACAGTTTTTAAGCAGGTGTGTTGAACTATTCATGTGCCAGATATGGTAGTGCAGCGATTACACTAAGAGTTTTCTAAATAGGCTCATGTTTGAAGGAACTGCAGGGGACAAAGGGATGCACGGATACAGGGGACATGAGATGCACCTGGGTTCTGGCAGCGTGAGTTGTTGGAGAGCTTAGAGGAGGAGAGGACCAAAAGACTGGGAGGCTCACAGTGAGAGGATCAGGAAGGCGCCTTTGTGCATGCACAGCCGTTTGTTTTATAGTTTATTTGCTAAAGGGCTGCTAAAAATGTGTTTCCCATTTAAAAATTGAACTAAATGTCAAGCCAAATAGAAAATGTTTTCACAAAGCAGCAGAATTCTGTGTTTTATCAGTTAATATTTGCAATTTCAAGATTATTAAATTTTTATTTTAAATTTTTCAGATAGAAAATCCTCGGTACCTGAGACAGAAGCCTGTCCCAATTTCTCTGGTAGGTGAAAATTCCATTGGACTTTTTCTAGTCACCATTATCTTTAAATAAAATAATCATTATTTACTAAAAATAGTTCCTCATTAAAAAAAAATAGTCTCTTAAAAATGAAGAAGTCACTTCACCCTTATCTGAACCCCTGCCATAGCAGAATTACGTATGTTTCAAGCATTTTAGAAGTTCCTTTTTGAGGGGACAATGTTGTGGCACAGCCGTTGACCTGCTGCTTGGGATCCAGCATCCCGTAGGGGTGCTGGTTCATGTCCTAGCTGCTCCACTTCCGATCAGTATGGGAGCCGGTTTGTTCTCTGGCTGCTCCATGCTCTGTGCTGGTGCACCTTACAAAGCAGGGGAAGGTGGGTCAAGTGCTTGGCTCCCCGACACCTGTGTGGGTGACTCAAAGGCAGCCCCTGGATTCCGGCTTCAGCCTGGCATTGGTAGACAGCAGGTGGAAGATCTTGGTCTCTCTGTAACTCTGTCTTTTAAGTAAATACATAAATGTTACAGGGAGTGAAAAGAGGTTCATTTCTGTGTTAAGGATAAACCAGTCCTAAAGAAGTACTAAGTAGTTGTCTCGTTTGCCAGATGACTCCCAGGTTCAGCCTAAGGAAATCCAGCAGTCTGCATGAAGATCATTTTCTCTCTCGAATGCATGAGAAAGAGGTAGGATTGCGATGTTTCTGACGTACCTGATTGTTAACCCAGCTTAAAGATTTTGTGTGGTGAATTTTTAGATTTCAGGCACAGTAATAATATGCTCTTAAAAGCAGTTGTCTTTGCTACAAATATAAAGTTATAATTCAAGGTAGGCATGGTTTGTCTTTCTATGTTTGAAACCCTTCTGCCATATTGTTGTCATAGCTGCCTTGTACTAGAAAGACTGTGAAATCCTTGCTTATCAGCAATATAGGACAAATACAGTCCTTATATATAAACTCATATATTGTAAGGGCTGCCGCTGTAGGGAAAATGGGAAGGGTTGGGCAATGGGTGTGGAGTTTATTTTTAGAGTGTTGAAAAATAGATTTTTTGGGCCCAGTGTGGTAGCCTAGTGGCTGAAGTACACACCTTACATGTGCCTGGAACACATATGGGTGCCAGTTCATATCCTGGCACTCTGCTTCCCATCCAGCTCCCTGCTTGTGGCCTGGGAAAGCAGTCGAGGACGGCCCAAAGCCTTGGGAAACTGAACCCTCATGGGAAACCCAGAAGTGGCTCCTGGCTTCTGGCTTCAGATTGGCTCAGCTCCAGCCGTTGCAGCCACTTGGAGAATGAACCAGCAGGTGGAAGATTTTCCTCTCTGTCTCTCTTCTCTTTGTATATCTGACTTTTGAATAAAAATAAAATAAATCTTAAAAAAAAAACAAGATTAGATTTTGATGAGGCATGATAGGAGAATATTAGTTCAGTGGCAGTGCTCCTGTATTTAACTCTGACCTGCCATTCACAAACGTGCTTGGGCTTGTTCACCTCTGTAACTGTGAACTTATTTCCTCGGATCGCCACGTCACAGAGTTGTGTGTCAATGAGCCTGGTCACGTACTGGGGTGTTCTTTGCTCCCCCCCCTTCCTTTTTTTTTTAAAGTAATCTGAAAAAAGATCTCTGCTTTGGATTAAGACATTTGGAAAACTATTGTTGTTGCAAAAGAAGGAAAGTGACAGCACGGAAGGACAAGCGCCATTTGCAGAGCTATCCTGTCTTCGGAGAACAGACTGGAGTTGCTCTTTCTGCAAACAGAACATCGCGTTTGAAGCTTCTTCCACCCCGTTGGATGTTTCCTCTTGTTCCCTAAGGAGGGACGTGGCTTCTCTCCTACATGTAATGCCTAATTGGTTTTTTTGTCTTGATAGATCTGCTTGTTAAATTTAGAATTTTAATAAACCAAGTTAAAGAAGAAATCCAGTTATTGATATAATACATGAAAGAGCTAGTCTTTTAATACATTTTTAAGATATATAATCTTTAGGTATGCACAGCACAACATTTCATAATTAATTATATGAAGAAATTCTAGTACCCAGGCAAGGATTGCGTCATCGCCCTTGTCCCGGAAGTGTGCCGCTATCCTTCCCCTCATGCTGTCTTTGTCTTCCTTCCATCACAGTAACTGTTTTTATGTTTCTGGTGCTAGCTTCCAGCCTTTTTTTTTTTAAATTAATTTTGTCATCAATGTTTACATTCCTTAACAATTAAAACTCTTTTATCAGATTTTTTTGTACCACGTTTAGTTGGAACCTAGTTAGAAAGTGATGCAGATGAGCCTTGTACAGATGCATGGCACACCAGGCACAGATGTCCCCCAGGCAGTATGGAGGAAGAGAAGCAGGACATACACGGATATGTCAACTTTAGTTCTCTCTATCCAGAAGTCATTCTGGAAGGTCTTAGATTCTTCATTGCCTCACAGCTGCAAGAAAACGAAAGAGTCAGTTTTACTCAAGAATGTTCTTTATGAAATAAGCAGTACAACTTGCTAATTGTGTTAATTCTTGTACCTAGAATATACATCTTTTTGTTATCTGAGTGATGAAATGGGACTATGCATAAAGAACTTAGGCTGCATATCAAAGTGCAATGGCTGCCCAGAGGAAAAGCACTTGGCTGAATCTTTTGAGTTATGATTTGCAATAGCTGCCTTCGTGGGAGTGGGGGGTGGAGGGTGGTGAGGGAGGGGGAGATAGAGAGAGAAGGAGGGGGGAAAAGAGAGGGAGGGAGAAAGAGAGACAGGGGAGAGAGAAGAAGAGAGAGAGGGAGAAAGAGAGAGAAAGAGGGAGAGAGAAAGGGAGAGAGAGAAACCACTTTTTATTTAAAAGAATGACTAACAAGTGATGCTTATTCAGATTTTGACATTTAGCAGACATTTTAAAAAGTTAGTAAGATGGACGTGTCATTTCAAGCTAAACAGCTGATAGTATTTGTTGCTTATGTTAAAAATTTGACCTTTCAATGAGAATCAACATTTCAGAAAATGTGTGTTGTCATTGTGAGCCTGACAGGTTTCCAATATTAACACTTGCCAGATGAAATTGGCAGTTATATTAACCAATGTGTGATGTGAAGTTTTAATATTGTATAGTAAAGTTTTCAATATTTGACTATTTTTATAACTCACTGAATTTATATGATGTAGGGTGTTATGGAAACTTATGCTTGGATAAAGGATTCATTGCAGGTGCATGAAATAGCCCAGTGGAAGTTAACATGAAAGACTAGGGAAAAGATTCAGAATCCACAATGCAAGTAGCATGCGAAACTTGGCCCTTGTAAATATAAGCATAGCATTTAGGATTGTACTAAAATACTCCTTTTCAAACTACAGGTTTATGACAGATTGCATTAAACAAAGAACTGATTCCATCTAATATTACGTATATTTGAGAAAGTGGAAGAGAGGCAAGGTGGTTCAGTTTTGTGAAGCAGGAGGCATAACCCTGAATTTAAAAAGCAAAAAGGATGTTATAGGTACAAGAATTAAACATCTGTAATACAAATTCAGTAACAGTTCATTATTTATACATTTAAAAAAAGGTTATAAAAAGTTGCCATAATTTGTTACTTCCCTGAAAGAAAATAAAATTGGTTTCTGATCATCCAAAAAAAAAAAAAAACAGAAACAATATCTAGATGTATTCAGAACTCAGTCTAAAAAATGCCCAAGGACAGGTGCCAGGTACGGTGGCTTCGGGCACCTCTCAAGGAGCCTCCCTGCTGCGTCAGAGGACTCGGCCTGTGCTCCGGCTGTTCTCCTTCCAATCCAGCTTCCTGCTAGCTTCCTGAAAGCTTATCTGGATCCTTGTCACCCATGGGGTGGACTTGTGTTGAGTTCTGGGCATTTAGTGGGAGTGAGCCAGCAGATGGAATGATCTCCATATCTCTGTCTCTCTGCCTTTCAAGTAAAATTAACTAAAACAACAACAATAACCACAGCAAAAAACAACTGAGAATACTCATATCTAAAAGCAAAAAGAATGTTGCCAGAGTGGGCTTTAGGAGATCTCTCTAAATACCAAACCTCTCTGAACTCATGAAGTATAAACTAAAAGAAATATTTGACTCAAGTAGAATGAAAATCTTCGTATGGCAGAAAATATCACCATCAACAATCTTATTTATCAACTTGACCCAGACACCTGGGAAAGCATGTGAGCTAGTGAACTGCGCCAACAAGTGCCCCGATCCATGTGGAGAGAGCTCATCCCATCCCCACAGGGCCTGCTCAGGAGCAGGCAGCCTGGGTGAATTCATTCTTTTTTTTTTTTAAGCTTTGTTTATTTTTATTGGAAAGTCAGATATATAGAGAGGAGGAGGAGGAGAGAGAAAGACCTTCTGTTCATTGATTCACTCGCCAAGCGTTTGCAATGGCTGGGGCTTAGCCTATCCTAAATCAGGAGCCTCTTCTGGGTCTCCCATGCAGGTGCAGGATCTCAAGGCTTTGGGCAGTCCTCGACTGCCTTCTCAGGCCACAAGCAGGGAGCTGGATGGAAAGCGGGGTGTCCTGGATGCAAATCAGCACCCATATGGGATCCGAGCACGTGCAAGGCAAGGACTTCAGCCACTAGGCTCCCGTGCTGGGCCCTGGTGAATTCATTCTTTTCTGCTGGAGCTGAGATGCCCACCTTGTGCTATGAACATGGAACTCCTGCTTCTGAAGCCTTCATGCTCTGACTGAATTACACCATTGATTTGGCATTTGATTTCCAGGGGACTGGATGGATTGTGTGGCCTGTTGATCTCTATAAGTATTTGTGGCAATCCCATATAAAATCCCTCCTTTTTAGTATAGTTTCACATATCTCTTATCTCTAGGGATAAGTTTAGAAAAAAGTATAATAGGTAACAACTGGCATTCTGAACTATCCTAGTTTTGGGAAGAATCTGAATTAACAAAATTATTAGTAAGTAACAAAATTCCCAGTGAAAGTTGATTCCAACAATTATGTATAATGTGTAAGTAGAGTGATAGTTATTTTATGAATCACTTATTTTGCAATTTGATTAATGAGAATTGTTGAAATGTCGAAAGAGGATGACTAAACATAATATCATCCAGTGGTTTGCCTCTGATGCTTTGGAAACCACTGGATAGTACCGAGTTGATATTAGTAATTGTTTTAGGCACTTAATGCCTTACAATTTAATTGCTACCTAGGCTCAGTGATTAAGGACAAGATATCCTTAGGAATATTACTGTGACCATATATTATCATTTATTGATTGCTTTTGGAGCTATTTGTAATATAAAAAGAAATAATGATATTTTGATAACATTTTTTGTTTTGTATTGTCATGATTGAGGTAGTTAAACACCATGAAAGAACTTTTTTGTCATTTTAAAATGTGTGGCTGGAGCAGAGTGGATGAAGCTCCTGTTTGGGACACCGATGTCTGCTATCATAGTGCTAGTTCAGGTCCTGGTTTTCAAAATACTTCTTGCTAAGGCATCTGGGAAGCAGAGGATGACAGCTCAAAGTTTGAGTGCCTGTCACCTGCATGGGAGACCAGGCTGGAGTTCCTGGCTTCTGACTAATATAGCCCAGCCCTGGCTGCTACAGACATTTGAACCAGCAAATGGCAGAGATCTATGTCTGTTTGTCAGTCTCTTTTTCACTCTGCTTTCCAAATAAATAAATAAACCTTTTTAAAAATGTGTGAATAAAATCTG